TAATGTCATTAGAATCTCAGCAGGAGAAACGAAGTTCGATGTTTCGTTTGCCGCGTCGCGAATGCCGGCAAAAGTACGGGGAAATTGATGTAATTTGATAATCGTCCAACCGATGGCCCTGTCAAACGCATGTGTGCGTATCACGGGCAAAGGATGATCGGCGACGTTGATCGAGCACCGGGAGAGTAACTTCGTGCTACGGTTCGAAGTGAAAGCAGCGCGCGTTGGCACGAGTCCAAGCAAGGGCGTCCATAGATTTTGATCCAGGGGAAGAGGGTCTCATAGGGGACCCGTGCTGTCTATATATTTTTCGCTATATATGAGCCGCTTGTGCGAGCGATGATGCAATTTCAGCGAAATTTTCGAGACTTGAAATTGCGACGTTTTCAAAATAAACGACTCGTAAGCATCTCGGATTTTTTAGACTCGTTAACGACAAGAAGAAATTACGGTATGTCTTTTTCTCTAATATCGACATCAGGGCTCGAATTATATGACAAATCTCGGTATATTTTTAAATTGAAAAGAGAACCATGGCCTCCCCCTATTCACTATAGCCAACCTTGCTATGTGCTTGCGGGCTGGCACATAATGTCGTTTTACGTTGCCAAGAAAAATGTGAAGGTCTCCCTCCGCTCTAATGCATCGCACCCTCTATCTCTCGTTTTTCCTCATTCCTTTCTTTCCGCGATTCTCTCTCGTTTGTATACGCGAGTCGCATTCTGTGTAAGAATGCATAGGAACGCCAAGTATTTCCTTGAACGAAGAAGCTGACACGACAGATTGCACGAAACAGCCCGTTTCTTTTATATAACGATTCCCTTTGCCATGAAAAAGGCAATGAGATAAAATCAGATAGGTCGAAATGATATAGCAAATTATTTGGACAATATACCTCTGCAGTCTGTCTGAAGTAAGCCTGGCAATTTGTAATATATAATTTATCGCGATCGTTGTTGCTCTATCTATCATATACATCCACCCACTCTTATTTCATGTTGTTGCATTTTATAACATCTCCTTACAAGTTCTCTCTCAAAATCCAACCTTAAGATATTGCAAAAGAACGTTGAATAATTCATGCCTTGATTACAACATCGTCCTATTTTGTAAATTTCGACCCGGCACAAAATTGCAATTTGGCGGAGGAAATTACATTTGTTGTGGTCGACGTCCGTTCGTACGCGACTTGTATACCGAACGAGAATGCGTGATAACCACTCGATCTTCTCGATCGACGTACATTTTGCGAACAAGGCATTCTCTAACAGTGGATAAAGAAAATTCTCTAAACAGTGGATAAAGAAAAAGTAAAAATCTTACATCATAGGACACACGCAGATTTTTTTATTCTTAAAAAAAAAAATTCTATAAAAAATATATTGATATACTTTCTCTTAAGAGCATTCAAATCTAAATTTCAGATTAAATTAGAAAAAAATTACGATAAGGAATAAAAAATGCAGAATATTTCTACTGTTTTTAAATTAAATAAAAATGTTTGATATTGTGCGTCGTCTCAATTTCAGCGAAATTTTCGAGACTTGAAATTGCGACGTTTTCAAAATAAACGACTCGTAAGCATCTCGGATTTTTTAGACTCGTTAACGACAAGAAGAAATTACGGTATGTCTTTTTCTCTAATATCGACATCAGGGCTCGAATTATATGACAAATCTCGGTATATTTTTAAATTGAAAAGAGAACCATGGCCTCCCCCTATTCACTATAGCCAACCTTGCTATGTGCTTGCGGGCTGGCACATAATGTCGTTTTACGTTGCCAAGAAAAATGTGAAGGTCTCCCTCCGCTCTAATGCATCGCACCCTCTATCTCTCGTTTTTCCTCATTCCTTTCTTTCCGCGATTCTCTCTCGTTTGTATACGCGAGTCGCATTCTGTGTAAGAATGCATAGGAACGCCAAGTATTTCCTTGAACGAAGAAGCTGACACGACAGATTGCACGAAACAGCCCGTTTCTTTTATATAACGATTCCCTTTGCCATGAAAAAGGCAATGAGATAAAATCAGATAGGTCGAAATGATATAGCAAATTATTTGGACAATATACCTCTGCAGTCTGTCTGAAGTAAGCCTGGCAATTTGTAATATATAATTTATCGCGATCGTTGTTGCTCTATCTATCATATACATCCACCCACTCTTATTTCATGTTGTTGCATTTTATAACATCTCCTTACAAGTTCTCTCTCAAAATCCAACCTTAAGATATTGCAAAAGAACGTTGAATAATTCATGCCTTGATTACAACATCGTCCTATTTTGTAAATTTCGACCCGGCACAAAATTGCAATTTGGCGGAGGAAATTACATTTGTTGTGGTCGACGTCCGTTCGTACGCGACTTGTATACCGAACGAGAATGCGTGATAACCACTCGATCTTCTCGATCGACGTACATTTTGCGAACAAGGCATTCTCTAACAGTGGATAAAGAAAATTCTCTAAACAGTGGATAAAGAAAAAGTAAAAATCTTACATCATAGGACACACGCAGATTTTTTTATTCTTAAAAAAAAAAATTCTATAAAAAATATATTGATATACTTTCTCTTAAGAGCATTCAAATCTAAATTTCAGATTAAATTAGAAAAAAATTACGATAAGGAATAAAAAATGCAGAATATTTCTACTGTTTTTAAATTAAATAAAAATGTTTGATATTGTGCGTCGTCTAAGAAAGATCGAAGAATATTATCGCACACGATCGTACTATTTGACATTTGTGTAACGAGGAGTCGAGCGAAATATGATCGAACAACTGTTTCTTTTTTTTTTTTGCGTTACGAGCCGTTTCTCTTATTGTTAATGGATGAGCGCGACGAGAGTGCGAAGGATAAATGACGCATAATGAGGAGCAGAAGGGTGGAGTGTACGCGGATCACGTCGAGGATTGGAAGATGTTGGATGGAGAGCGGAAGACAGAGGTGATTACAGCGACGAGCGAAGAAATCCAAGGAGGGAAGATGAAAGAAGAGAAACCGCGAAATTAAATGGGTGTGACCCGTTTCGCGTGTGGGCGAAGCCGTTCCGAGTGCGCGAGTATATACAGAAAATTTCCCCGATGTATGCGTGAATAAATTTTTTTTCTCCCCGTCGAGTGCAAGGTCAAAGATTTTTATACAAGGCGGACGGCTCGATGCACCATACGGTTATTGACCTCCTGAAATTTATCGGCTATCCTCTCGCTACCAGGCTAATATCCCTGATTAAAATGGCAGTCGATAATATCGTGATAATTTATAACGGATAATTTACTGTCTTCTTTTTTGCAGATTAAATATATCCCTTTATAGAATATCGAGTAATGCAAAAACGCGTACATAGTTTAACTTCAACGCATAAATTAATTTTTAAAAAACGGCGACATGCCGATATGTGTAAATATGCATATGTTATCGGTGCCGATTTATTGAGAAATATACATATAGATTAAAATCACACATACACACACAACAAAAGCAATATGAATTCTGATTGATGCTGCTAATTTAATCGCTTAAATTGATGTACAACACTGAATTCCACACGCAAACGAGATCGTAACGTTTATCTCGAATTTCTGTTTACTACAACGCTGTATTCCGATATCTGCTCATTATTTCTCTTCGCATATTCCCGACATCATTATACCTCTTTTCCTCAAACGACATACTGATCATTGATTGCGCATTGCAAAAACGATTAAATCGATGCACCGATGCAGCCTGCGCAATTTTGACAGATTCGTTATCCACTTCCGGTTCATAGAAGCGCGTTAACTCGCGTCATGAAAAATTCGTTGGTCCGTTACTTCGGTAAAAGACATTCCGGGATTTGCCGGATCTCGGAAGTTCCGCGGAAATATCGTTCATTATCCCGACGCCCTCCGCGGACGCGAATTACAGGACAACGGCGTAAACAACTTTGCGGCTTACCACATCGGAAAGCACGTACACTCCCCGCTTTCCGGTGTGGGGAAAAAAATGTCGCGACAATGAAAAATACACCGTCTTTGTCACGTTTAATATTACGTTGATAAAGGCTCGTTAATTAACTTAATTTTGTAAAAACGTAAAAAAATGACTAAATATTTATTCGCGTTCAAATCGAGTAAAAGCCGATTAACCGATGAAATCAGT